TGTGGGAGCTTCTTAAGCTGACTTCTATCTGTGTCCGTGTGACCTGCTTGAACTTTGAATCTTTCATGTCCTCGCATAACGGTCCAGCCTCATATGCACCCCACTCTGTTCCTGGGATCAGGTTTCTTGAAGAACACCGTTTCCTCTTCGTGAGGAATGGGCTTCATGACTAAGACCTGAGCCCTGGTTTTCATAGCACGTTTGTAGAGCAGAGTCTAAGCCTAGACCATAGAAAAGTTAAGGCATACACCCTGAGTTACACAACCAATACATAGTGAACAGGATTTTACCACGGGCCTCTTAAACATCGTGCAATATAGCCTATCAATTACAATATTGCTTTGATTCATCACCTCTTCCGCTCGCTCCCTTTCTGTCTGTCAGTCTGTCTCTCTTCCTTAGTAGGTCTTGGTCAAACGGATATAAAAGCTTGCTGTCATTTCATTTTCACAGATACGGGAAAAATCCTTGAACCTTTAGACTCATGCTGCCAACACTGCTCCCAAGAACTTGCGAAGGAAAAGCAAGAATGTCAAGACCTGCAAAGAAAACTGGAGAAATGCTGCCGGCAGCTTCAGCACTTAGAAAGGAAGCACAAAGCTGTAGTGGAAAAAATCGGAGGTTAGCATCTCAGGTCGCCCCGCTGCCAGTGTAAAAATGCGACATTTTAGTTCATATCCTTTCTGCTCTCTTTGGGGATTGGTGCCAGCTACTTTGGACCTTATTTTTACTAATCAAGTCATTATTACTGATCTCAAAAGAGGGGATTTCCAGCTCTGATTGAAAGGTCACATTTCTCCTTCTCATGACTGAGTAGGTCTTGAGAAGAAGCTGTGTTCTGGGCAGTGAAGAAAACGGACAAAAGTCCAGTTCTCATGAAGATGTTCCTTTCCTTCAGGAAGCTTATCAAGTTAGGCAGGGGGATGGGGGGGAGGGTTGAACAACAAATTAATAAATCAACCTTAAGTTGATTTATGTATATATCAGCTCACATAGTGCATATATAGACTTTGTACATACAGTACACATAGTATATATAAATACTAGCAGTACAGTGATATAAACTTAGAAGGAAGAGCATTAATGCTTCCTCCGCCTACCAGCCTTAAGCCTAGAGGAACAGAATGATTCACCAGAGAAGAATACCATTCTCGCAGAAGGAAAAGACCTGAGCAAAGCCAGACGGGACCCGTTTGGGCTGCAACCAGTCCTTTCTTCATAACGATCGGACTGCTGTCTATCTAAAACGGGTCTCCTCTGCCATCTCCCGTTGCTTTTCAAAAGGACTTGTTTGTACTTTTAAGGCTGTTCCCTCTTGCCTTTCATTACTTACTTCTACCCCTTGCTGTTTTGCGCTTTAGGTTTAAAATCTTTGCAGATTCCCGAACTGGCCACGCTTTCTTTTGCTTCTGAACCTAGCATGTGTTGTTACTGTGTCCCGCACTTTACTCTCCTATTTTCTTTTTGCCTAACTTGCCCTCACCCTGGGGAGTCAGCTCTGAAGGCACCTCCTCTGGATGTTCCTCCGTCTGTGTGGCCCTGGAGCACCCCATGAACTCTCCCTCTGTTACACTACGGACTGTTCTTTGTTTTCTTTGTTTGCTTGACTGTGCTTACTCCTGTTCGTCTTGGTAGTCGTGGTGCACCCGTGGAGAAAAGATGGAATCTAAGCGTCCCCAATACTTACGTCATTTAGAAAAACAAACAAACAGCTGACTAGGTTCGCTGTTTTTCCTACCTTGCCTTTATCGCTTGCCTGGACCATGGCAGTCACTTCCTGATTCTATTTCCAGTCTTGCTCCTTCCATCCATTTTCCATAGGCAGCTACTGAGCAACCTTTAAGAAAGTAAACTGAACCATGCACGCGCCTGTTTAAAGCACCTTCAAAGCCGTTTAAAGTGGCTTGCTGGGACTCTCAGAGTGAAATCCCAACCTGGCTGATTAATTGAACAACAACAACAAAAGCCCTTCACGATCTAATTCCTGCTCTCCCCACCACCTGCATGGTTCCCCGGCCCTCTGATCCTCTCAAGGGAGCCGGAGGCATGGGTGTGCCTCTCTTTCCGAGCCTCCTGTCGTGCACTCCCCCTGGACCATGACCATGTGTTGTGTCTTCCTTTCCAGACTGCATGGCCTGCCGACCCCCTCCTCTTCTCCCCGCTCACCTCTGCCTCAGGAGCCCTTCCTCATCAGCCCAGTCTTGCTTGCCTCGTTCCGTACACATGCTCCACTGCTCCGAGGTTCTTTATAATGCCCATCAGCCATGTAACCTTTCATTGTCTGGGTTCCCCTTTGGAGTGTAGGCTTCATGGCAGCAAGGATCACATCCTGTTTCAGCACCTTGGTATTATAGTACATGGTGTCGACAAGGTACAAAAACTATTTGGGGGAATTTTCAGATAAAAATTCTTACTATTATAATTACTTTTGTGGCTACTTAGCTCTTTAGTGGAGACCAGGAGAGTAAATGAGATTTTTGCCTGAGCTGTAGATGCATATAGCTACAAAAGGATGATATTGTAGAATTCGATAAGAACAAACCAAAAAATGTTACATCATAAAACAATCAGAGCAGTTTGATTTGGTTATTACCTATAAAGAATATGTATGCCCTGTGTTGTAGGCACAAGATAATTATTCCACTTTTGAAGCTAATACCTTGTGTGTTTTGTAGTCCTGGAAATAAGCCATTGTTTTGAAAGAAGTACTTTGATAGGTTGAAAAAAGGTCAAAATTAGAATGTAGGTTACTTGAGGGTGTGGTTTGAGTTTGGCGTGACTGTACCATGGCGGCTTCTTCACCCTCTGAGAGTCCATGTTTTCATCTGTTGGTAGCATTGATCGAAGAGTGCAGAGTACAGGGAATGATTTAAAATATACCAGCTGTATCAATCGCCAGGGGAAGGAGTGGCTCATTGCCCTCGTCCTAATGCCCAGATGTGTTGAGGAGATAGAGTAGCAGGGAGCGCGAGGCAGCATGCTCATGTAGATGGAGCAAGGCCTTGTGTAAGGCACTGTGCATTTTGTTTTATTTCTATGACCATTTTTTAGGGAATATTATACCCCTTTTATATTTGAACAAAATCCCTCAGGTTCAGAAAGCTTAAGTAGTATGCTTAGGCTCATGTAACTGGTAAAGAGCTGAGCTAGGGTTTAACCAGTTTTTCTTTAACTCTGAAATTCACGCCCTGACACTACATACCCCCCTACATGGGCTCTGTTAGTTTCTCTTGTGTAAAGTCCAAATCATTGAAAAATCTTACTTTACCTTTTACTTAATGGTGAATTTTCTTTTCATTTTGTATTTAAATCCTTGATCCGTGATCATTTATTCGAGCCCAATACGCTAGGTTCCACAGGGGCCTGAGGTTAGAAAACCTATGTCTCCAGAGGTTCAATCTAGCTGGAGAATAAAGTCCAAGCGCATGACGTAACTGGACACTGGTTCCAGGGTGGGGATAACCCAGAACAAGGTAGACATGGCGCACCGATGCTAAGTGCTGCGGAAGCAGGCTCTGAATCCCGTGTGGCGCTGGGTCATCAGAGCATAAATGGCATGTGCCAGCCAGGGAGTAGCAGTCTCCTAGAAACACCCGCCCCGGGGACCGAAGGGGAAGGGAGGCTGGGCGAAAGGGAGATTGACTGTTCAGTCCAATATGAGCTCTCTTTCTACAGAAGAGAGCAGTACAGTTGTTGAAGAACTAATAAAAGAAAACAACGACATGAAGAATAGATTGGAAGAACTGAAAACCCTCAGCAAAACCCCACCAAGGTACACTCTTACTATTACAAAGAGCGGAACATTGATGTCTAAGCATGACACCGTTTTACAAGACCCTCGGCACGATGGCAGTGAGTTTGGCTTGGTTTTATTGCAACTGTTAGACGGCAAGACATTGCATGAGTTAAAAAGAAGAAGAACGAGGACACATCCTCCTGAGACAGCCTCTGATAACCCCTTGTTTTATATCATTTATCTGGTTTTGGTCTTGTACACACACATCATTCGTACTGCAGGTTTAAAAAAATCGGAATCATCACATCAAACTACTTTGTAATCCTGTATTAGTTTAGTAGGACCAACATTTCCCCCATGTCATGAGGTGTTTTATATTCTCTTCAGAAGCTGCAAAGATTTTATTTATTTTTTTAAGCTGCAAAGATCTTAACCCCGTGACTTTACCATGCTTTATTTAAACAATCAAAACACTTACATTGTTTCCATTTCCCCCTACTCTAGCGAACTATAGGGAAGATCCTTGCAGGTGAAAATTTTGGTACCTCTCTTTCATGAGAATCTGTGAGTACACGTGTGTTTACTTCAGAGAAGATTTCTCACTTGCACTGTTGGCTTTTGCCATCTCTGGTTTGATTCTAGGTCGCTCTCAGAAGGGGCTGCTGGAAATGCCTGCATGCTGTGCAGCGGGAAGGCCTTGGAAGAACTTCGTGGGCAATATATTAAAGCTGTCAAAAAAATTAAATGTAAGTCTCTAGAGCAGTGCTTCTCAACCTTCACGCTGCGACCCTTTCATACAGCTCCTCATGTTGTGGTGACCCCCAACCCTAAAATTATTTTCCCTGCTGCTTCATCACTGTCATTTTGCTACTGTTATGAATGGTCATGTAAATATCTGATAAACAGGATATATTTTCATTGTTGTAAATTGAACATCATGAAAGCATAGTGATTCATCCCAAAAGCACTATGTATTATATATTATGAAATATTGATTTCTAATGACACGTCAATGAAATGTCTTGAAGTATGGTGTAGTATGGTATAGCATGGGTAATGGGCTTCACGCCGGGTACTCTGATGTGGGCTTGTCTGCATGTGGGCAGACCCACCTGGAGACGGCTAGAGGAGCGGTGTCTCGGTTCCTAACACCATCAGAAATGTGTGTTTTCCAATGGTCTTAGGCGGACCCCTGTGAAAGGGTCGTTTGACTCCCCCCCTCCCCCAAAAGGGCTCGTGACCCACAGGTTGAGAACCGCTGCTGTAAAGAAATACAAAGATTTTCAAGATGGTTTGGCTTTTTTTCCTTTTTTCTTCTCCTCTAGCTGTTCTTGTTCTTTATGAACTCATAGTTGACTCACACGATGATTTCAGAAGGAGTCCTGGTGGCACAGCAGTTAAGCGCTTGGCTACGGTAGTTTGAACTGACTAGCTGCTCTGAAGGCCGGAGCTGTGGCAGCCAGCTTCCGTAAAGAGCTCACTGGGAGACCCTAAGAGGCAGTTCCACTGTGTCCTGCAGGGTTGCTGTGGGTCAGAATTGACCTCAATGGCAATGAGTTTTGGGGATTTGGCCTTGTCCTGGGATCTTGCCTCCTTTTAGAAGAGATCTTTGGTGATTTCTCTGAATCACGCAGTAGTAGATCATTGTGTCCATGTTATATCTTAGAAAGTGACCTGAGGGTAAAGGGACTTCTATGTTATTGATACCAGTACTGAACTAGAAGTTTAATAGTCTTGCAATTTATGTTACTTTTACCAAAGAAAATGCCGTGTGCGTTTCCAACAAGCAGCTGTGACTTTCCACCATAAACTTTGTGGACTCCCTGGATAATCAAAAAGGTTAATGCTCACCGTTGCAAACCAGAAGTTTAGAAGTTGAAATACACCCAGTGGTTCCTCTAAAGAAAGGCCTGGTGATCCTACTTCTGACAAAGTCAATCATGGAAATGTATGAAGCACAGTTCTGCTCTGATAGGCACGGGTGGGTCACCAAGAGTCGTAGTTGACTGATAATAGCAGGCAACAGGTCACCACAAGCACGTGAGGACTGGAAATGGGTCAGGTGAAGAGTTGGCCTACTGGTCGCCATTATATTCACAGTGGATTAAACCACAGATGTTTGTCAAGTCCTCTGCAGCACAGTCTTGCTGGCACATCTTCCAGAGTCTTCCTCTGGTTTATGTTTGCCCAGTGGAATGCCTCTTGGCTGTTAGAATCAACATTATACAGAACGCATGGATCTTCCACTCCAGTGGTCACAACTTATATGTGGAAAACTGCGTAGACACTAGTCTCCCCGTTAGTGTTTTTCTATAGAGCATCTGATTTTCAGGAAGAGCTTCCTGACTATAAGAGGGGGAATTCCTCTGAATTGATACTCCTAATGTAACAGGGGTGGTGGAATTCTAGGTGTGGGATCTAGCCCTGAGTTTAGTAAAATATACGAGCCTTAATGAATGGCGGTGCAATCAAAGCATGTTGAGTTACAGAAGAGAACGTGAGAGCTGTGTGCTGCGCTTCGATGTGAATGTCAAAAGGCAGCTGTTCGGTCTCATTGTCCTCCCTGGGTTAGTTTTGTGTGCCTCCCGTGAATTTGTGTGTTTCGTTAAGATGCCCAGTCAGTGCTGCTGGGCAAATTGAGTGAGTGCTGGCAGATGGCTTTTCAGCCTTTCAGTCTTCCAGCTCTGATGGTTTCCTCCTGGTGTTTGCTTGGCTGTTGCTTTCTGCCTGACCAGTTAGGTTCCCCAGTCCTCCTCTGGCAACTGGATGCCACATACAATTGAAATGTAGGAGCTTCCGTGCCTCATAGGGTGCGGTCTTACCTGTTTGAGAACAGGACCAAATTTCCAGCAGGAGACAATGCCATGTTTCTGTTAGCAGTGTACCTATCACTGTTCCAGAAGGACTGCGGGGATGCCTTTTCCTTCGAGTCTCCCAGAATGGTGGTCTGACGTGATGGTAGTGATGATGAGGGTCTATCATGTTTATTGTTCCAGCCACTTCATCTCCCCCCAGAACCGGTCTAAGGCGGCTTCCTATTTTTTTCTGAAAAACTGCTACTAAACATGCATTCTCCTGGGGACCCCACCCCACCCCCGCCACCTCCTGTAGGTGACATGCTGCGCTACATCCAGGAGAGCAAGGAGCGAGCTGCGGACATGGTGAAAGCAGAGGTCTTACGAGAGCGTCAAGAAACAGCCCGGAAGATGCGCAAATATTATTTGATTTGCCTCCAACAGATTTTGCAGGATAATGGAAAACAGGAAGGGTACGTTTGGTCTGAACACTCTGTCCTGGGAAGAGCAGGACAGCCTATTGTCCTTTCTCCCCGTTGTCCTGAACCAATGTTCCACGTGCTCAGCCACACGGGTTAAAAGCAACTTAAGCACTGTGCTACCCTAACTGTTGGCCTAGCTCATTGAAAGACAAAGACCCTGGGGCTAGGAAAACTCTCTCTCTCTCTCTCTCTCTGTTTTTTCCCTTTAAACTATATTAACATTCTGGAATTCCCCACAGGGCAGACAAAAAGATTATGAATGCCGCGAGCAAACTTGCGACGATGGCAAAGTTGCTGGAAACACCTGTTTCTAAAAGAACCCAGAGCAAGACTCCGCAGTGTGGTATGTCAAAGTGTGTCACGTCAGCGGGCTTCACACCCCCTTTTGGCTATTGATCTCTTTTCAGCATGAAAAAGACTAAAGGTCTTTATAAAGTCGTGTTCTCACTTCACTGTGAAGAAGTGGACATAAAGAATGTAGCGCTTTCAATTTAGGTAGACAGGCTAAGTAGACCTGCTTCCTATTCTTGTCGGGTCCCTAGAAGTGATAGAAAGTCTCTAAACATGAGAAAGAGAAGACATCTATAACCGAGTCTTAAAAATATGCCCTTGGTAGACCAGAGCGATGGACACTCCTAAAGAAAGAGGCCCCAGGGGCCCGTGAGCCCGCCTCGTCTCCGTGGCAGTGGGGTTGATTGTAGCAGTGGGTAAGTCGGTTCTTGAACGGATGGGAAGATGAGGCAGAGAGTGTTGTAGACTCTAAGAGTCTGGTGTGGTCCATGCTCCTCGTATAGAAACACAAGGGTGGCTTGTGTCAACTGCAGGGTGGCAATGGGAGCCTTGGGTTGAAAAGGGAAGTGACAGGGTGCAAGAGTGTCCCAGTAGAAAAGCGCTTTTTGTTGAGTTCTCAGGATGCCTGAGATAGGATACCTTTGATTCTGTGTTGTTGTTTTATTAACCATTTTACTGGGGGCTCGTACAACTTTAATCAAAATCTATATATAGACCCATTGTGTCGAGCACAGTTGTACACTTTTGTTGCGATCATCATTCTCAAAACATTTGCTTTCTACTTGAGCTCTTGGTATCAGCTCCTCATTTTTCACCCTTCCCTTCCCACTCCCCCCTCCCTCATGAACACTTGATGCTTTATAAATTGTTATTATTTTGTCATATCTTACACTGTCTGACATCTCCCTTCACCCACTTTTCTATTGTCCACCCCCCAGGGAGGAGGTTATATGTAGATTCTTGTAATCAGTTCACCCTCCCTACACCCTCCTGGTATCGCCACTCTCACCTCTGATCCTGAAGGGATCATCTCTCTGGATTCCCTGTGTTTCCAGTTCCTATCTGTACCAGTGTACATCCTCTGGTGTAGCCAAACTTGCAAGGTAGAATTGGGATCATAATGGGCGGGGGGGATTAGGAAGCATTTAGGAACTAGAGGAAAGTTGTATGTTTCATCGTTGCTACCCTGCACCCTGACTGGCTTGTCTCCTCCACGACCCTCCTGTAAGGGGATGTCCAGTTGCCTACAGATGGGTTTTGGGTCCCCTTGATTCTGTATTCTTAAGCTGCTCTGCCTTTGATCTGATTAAGTGTTGTTAGCTCATTAAACCAGAAACTTGGTTTGCTTTTACAGTTTGTGTGTTTGTGTGCATGTGCGAGTACATGGGATAGTCATGATTCTTTGAGCCAATACAGTCCATCTGAAACCTCATACTTCACAACCAGAGCAGGACTGGAAATGTTGCAATTGGCTCTTAAGACATCGACTATAAAACAATAAGCTATCCGGTGGGCTAAAAAATATATAGATCAGTTTTTAAAAGGACAAATGAGCAAGCCTTATTAATGGATTTGTGTAAAAGGGTATTTTAAATTGCCCAATGGTGTCTTTTCTTTGAGAACGATTAAAAGCATATACCGTCTTTGTCCATCACCCATACAAATAGTTTTGCGTCTCTCTTGGTGTTAATTTTCTCCTCATTCTGTGTTGCCCCGTGCATAGGGCCGTTGCCTCTGACTTCAGAGATGCTGGTTGGAGCTGAAAAGTCAAAGAGGAAGGATGTGATTCAGAATATAGCTGGCTACGCTGAGAGCGAATCAAGCAGCCTGAAAACGATCCCCAGCACTTTGTGCAAACAAGTTCCCAAGAAGAAGGCCGCTTGTAACCTACAAAGGCGGTTGGAGGATTCCGAGTATGAGGACAGAAAGCTCGTGGGTTCCACAGATTCACAGTCGGACTTTCAGTTTGGGGATACCAGATACAGGAAGCTGGATCCTGCCCCAGAGAGGGTCTCTCCGGAGTGTGTGCCCTACGAAGGGGAAAGAGGCTGTGGTTCGCACAGGAAGAGAGATCGGCTCCGGGACACCAGCTCCGCATTACTCGTGCACTCAGCTGTCTACCCCTTTCTTGGAACTTTCCGAAACAAACCCTCACCTAGACGCAGCCCAGGCCTTTCTGACCCCAGATCCACACCCACGCCCTGTCCGTGTCCCCACGAAAGAGCTGGCTTAAAGGTATATAAATTCAATCCCCTGGTGGAGAGTGGAGGTACCACACCTGACACAAGTCAGAGTCTGGGGATTCAGGAAGCCCCCGTGAAGGAGGGAGAAGACCTCAGCCCCTCTCTAGACTGGAGCTCCAACAGTGCGACTTTGCCCTGTAACGGTCACGAAGTCTCCTTTGTACACAGTGGACCACTCCCGGAGTCTGTCAAACTCAAGCAGTGCTCGGCCCTGAGGTGCCTTCCAGATTCGGAGGGAAGTGATGAGACTTGTAGCCTAGTGAACTTCCAGGGTGATCATGCTCCAGACCAGGCTTCTGAAGAAACCACGTATCCCCAGCCCGGCAAGATCAGCATGACTCTCGGACACCCGTCTCATCACGCGACTGACCTATTAAAGTCAGATTCAAAAAAACTCAGCAGTAAGGTGCCGGCTCCAGGGTATCGGCAGCCTTCAAGAAAACTCATCCCTCCCCTCGCTAGTCAGCAGGACAGTGGCTTTGATAGCCCCTTTATCAATCTAGACTAATGGTTGTACAGTATTTAAGAAGAATCATTAATATATTGACGAGAAAACTGGAAGGAAAGATTGCCATACTGGAAAATGTGTGCGTTACCTATTTTGAGATGTTTTAAAAACATCTATTACACATGAGTGAGGTGTTCCCATCAAATGACTTCAGATAGTTATGTTGCCTTAATCTTCCAGAAGCCTGATAGTGTATGTGTAGCTTGCTTCTTCTGTGTGGTACTGATATTTGATTCCTAAACCAGCCTATTTTTATACTTAGAAATTTGCTCTCTGTGCTGTGTTAAATTATTGCCTATTTAAATAAACCTCACCTGGTCTGTAGGATTGTTATGAATTATTTTGTAGCTCACCATAAGGAAATCAGTATCGAGTTGGAACTTCATCCAGAAAAAAGTATAAACTATTTGCATGTATGGTCAGTAAAATAAAAGTTAAAAAAATGAATCGTGGTGAATGAAGCTACAGAAGATTCCTGGAAAGGTCTACCCCAAATCTCGATCCTTTCTTTCAGTTAGTAGGAAAGCGTTTCCCAAGGATGGCCATGGAATGCATGGCTGTGTCCTGGTGTCCGGGGAGCCTTGTGGCAGAGTAGGTTAAGGGTCGGGCTGCAGTTCAAGTGCACCAGCCAAGAGGAAGGAAGCTGTGTAGTCTCGGAAACCCTAGGGAACCACCGCATTCCGTCTGTAGGGTTGCTTTGAGTTAGAAGGGACTCGAAGGCAGTGTGTGGCCTTTTGGTTTCATCTGATGTGAGTCTGATTTTTAATTTAGTCGCTATGTGTATTTTTTCAGATCATGTGTCGTTTCCAGAAACTTTTCTTTGACTCTCTTACGGTTTCATGGTCTTTCATCTGAAATAATTGCTTTTTAAACATGGAAATAACAAGTTTTTTTTATCATATCCCAACAACTTTTTGTATGACTCAGTTTTTCGTTTCAGAGTACCAAATGAATCGTGGAGACCTCTCGTAAGTTCAATGGCATGGCGGTGGTAATTAGAGTGCAGGCAGAAAGGAAGGGTTATGGAGATGGCCCGAGGAATTCCTTTTCAGGTTCCTGGAGGTGGAACGTATGTAAGTGCTTAGGTATATACAAGGACTCCCTGAAAATTTACTGTGGTTCAGATCTTTTACCCCAACTGATAGACAGACTAGTTGAGGGTTGATCCAGTATTTTTCTCTACCCAGCACCTGGTGAAAGTAGATCATGGCAACAAGGGTTGGGCTGGAATGGGGTGGCAAGATACAGCTTACACCGACAGGGAGCCAACTTGAAAAGTTAAGAACCTAGAAGGGAAATTGCTGCAACGTGGAAAATTGTCGTCGTGTTCTGTCTCACACAGCGTTCCCTACTTTCATATCTAGAGTTTGTAGTTCATTGTCATGGTCACACTGAGCTCACACACCATATTCTTGGTACAGGAGTTTATTAAGGAAGTTAACAGATGACAATGCAGGTGATAAATGCTCAGGATACACTTGCTCAGTCAAGACATGCAACAAAGTTCTTTCAGGGTTGCTAATAAATCCCCAAAGGGCATGCCACTCCCTGTTAGCCTCAGCCCAATGACACTCAGCCCAGATCCTTGGGTAGGAAACCTAGCTCTTATATAAGTGCCCAGAGACACCCCATGCCAGTAAGCCTCCACCTGAAGGCACTCAGCTCTACTTCTGGGGGTCAGCAAGCCCAGCTCTCGAAATCAAGTACCCAGAGGCACCTGCTCCCCATCCCGGCCTCCTGCCCCAAAGCGGAGACTCCGCTTTCCTTGCTCTGTGGAAGTCCATCGTGCCCTGGCGCCGGTGCTGCCGCTGCATCTCTGCCACTCCTCTGATGCCACCACCCTCTCTGGATTCTGGAGCGTCACTGCCCAAGGATTGGGGTGCAGAAGGCATGTTCTACTTCTGGTTCTTACTGGTTGTGAAATCCCCTCCTCTGCTCCCTCCTCAGAGGCCTGATGTTATGCACAACAGGGTGGTAGTCACAAGGAATCCTGTTGACAGTTCCTCACATGTGATTCCGGTCAGTGTCATTCCCCATTCAGTCTCGTATGAGGGGCCTTCAGAAAACTGGTAGAAAAAACTTTTTGAAGCTCCTTCATATTCCTGAAGATACAGTGATCCCTCTCCATCAGCTTGATTGTCATTGTTTACACCATGACAACTCTTTTAAAAAAAATCATTTTATTGGGGGCTCATACAGCTCTTATCACAATCCATCCATCCAACCATTGTGTCA